GGTAGGAACACTATCTGAACCCTGATCCCATGAAAGTTAGGTTAGGTTTTCCTTAAAAGGTGTTGGAATCATCCTCAAAAATTGACTTGGAGACTAAAAAGTACAGGCTGTTGATACCAATTCCTTGTTGCCTGAGTATAAAGAGTTCTAGGGGCCCTCTGATACTTGCCTGGTAGACCGCAAACTCAGAAGCAAGGGAGTTTCTTTCAGCTGAATAAACTAAGGATGTCCTCAATGGATATCCTTGTTGAATATCCATCTTCTATGAAAGTTAAGTAAATCTTCTTTCATTAACTTTTGAATAACCCATTCAAGAATGTCTGGAACCAGATGGTTGGCCTAAGTCATGCCCGATCCAGAACGTGTGAGAGGCCCATATAATTAATAAATTAGATTCATAACTATGGAACCTCAAAGTCGGAAAAAGACCTCAGAGTTCATCCAATCCAAACTGTACCTAAACAAGAACCTTCTCTAAAAGGTACCCAACAAATGATGGTCTGCCTTTTGCTTGAAGACCTCCAGTGCCAAGTAAGCTGCGACCTCCCCAGACAACTCATTCTACTTTTGAGCAATGTTGATTACTGGGAAGTTTTTCCTTAGCTCAAGCCTAAATGTGACTTCCCTTCAAAATTACCTTGTGCTAGTTAGTGCGTACCTGTCTATGCAGAAATTACCTCCCTCAGCTAAACTGTAAGCTTGTGGGGTCAGGAACTGTTTTATTGCTGTCTTTGGATTTCCAGTGTCTAGCCCAGCGCCTAGCAACAAGTGCTTAATAAGCTCTTGGTGCCTGATTTTTTATTGATTGATTGAATTGAAATTTTACCCATTAGTCCTAACTCAACCCTCTGGGGCCAAGGAGAATAAGTCCAATTTTCTTTCATATGACAATCCATCAAATATTTTTCTAAATATTTTTTTCCAAGCTAAAATCCCCATTTCCTTCAACCAATTCACATCAGACATGAATTTGGGGTCCCTCAAAACCCCCACTTGCTATGTTCCAGATACGTCCCAGTTTATCAATGTCCTAATGATGAAAATGGAACACAATAGAATCCAATGGACAAACAAAATGGAATTGCCAAGAGTTGAAAACTATGATTCAGAGGCAGTGTGGTAGAGTATAGAGAATGTTGGACTGGGTATTGAGATCTTTGGCTTACAGTCCTTGCTCTACAAGTGACTAGCTAGGTGAGCTTAGGCAAGTGACAATAACTCTGGGCCTCAGTTTCTTTAGCAATGAAATAAGAGAAATAGACTAAAATGATGTCCATGTGCATGTGTATACACACATATACCTATGTGTATATATAATATATACTTTCTTGCTCTAACCTTATATGATTATAAGTTCCAAATCTGATTAGGTTTTTGTATTATATAACTAATCAGCTTTTTTTTTTATCTAGATTTAGGGACAGCTGTGAGCTGAAGTACAGAAACTGTTGCACTGAGTGCTGAGACTTCTGGGTAGAATCATACAAAGACCCTTTACAGAACTGGAACAAGCAGTCTTAGACTGTATTGAGTAGGGAACTTCCTGTTCATGTAGCTGATGAACTTTTTTTTTGTATTTTCAAGGAACATCAAATAGATTTGCAAGAGAAGGAAGGCAGGTGGAGAAATTACTTGCCCCATGGCTGTGTTTTGAGAGAGAAGTGTGAGGAGAGGATTGGCGATGCTTTGGGTCCAACAGCATCCCACGGGTGCAGGACTGGTATTCATTAGTGTTTGTGGATTGTAGTTTGAAGGAATGATTCTCCAGAGAAAATGTGGTCAAAGGAACATACTATTAATGAACTGCAACTGGTCTGGGATTATCTCTGGCTATTGGCTCATATTTCCCTGTAAAATAAGATGCTGTAGGATAGACGTGTAGCTTTCAGCTTCTCTTTCCTTATTCAAAATGACTGCTTTTTTTTATGTTTTACATATATATTTTACAATTCTTATTTTAGTATGACTTATTTAATCTTATTTAGTGTGACTAAACTGAAGGCTGAAGTGGAATGGGCCATTTTGAAGTGTGAATTTCAGTCATTTGTTCTTTCGGGGCTCCTTTTGGTGAGGCAATAGACAAAGTAGAGGTCCTAAAGACCTGAGTTCAAATTTAGTCTTAGTTACCAGCTGTGTGACCCTGGGCAAGCCACTTAACCTTTGTCTGCCTCAGTTTCACCAACTATAAAATGGGATAATAATAGCAGCTAACTCCCTGGGTTGTTGTGAGGATCAGATGGCATATCTATAAAGCGCTTAGCACAGTGCCCTTGTTTTCTTCTTTCCATTTTAATGGAAGGAATCCAAAAATCTGGTTCCCAGTACTTGGTTGAGTTCTAGGGACAAAGCAAGCCAGTTATTTCTTTGTGATGGCAAGTCCTCAGCAATCTGCTGTCCAAAGGAGGAAAATATTTACTGTAGTAATGGCCAAAAAGGAATTCTTTCTACATGGCTTCTGTCTGCCTGCCATCATTTAGAGGACAACACACAGCACTACATCATGTTAGAAGGAAAAGGCCTAACAGCTAAATGGAGAGCCAAGGAGATCTGCCTTGTGTTAAACAAAGTGTTACATTTACTTGTAGAGTAGAAAAAAATGATGAGGCTCTAATATATTGGGGGGGGGCAGAGCAAACCACCGCCCAGATGAGTGGCTGTTAAGTTAGCTATGAATTCTGATCCTAAATAAATACACAAATAAATAATTTGTGTTTGTGTGTATGAGAGAGGGAAGAAAGGAGGGCCAGACTGAGAGAGAGAGAGATGCAGAGACAGAGACAGGCAGAGAGAGAGAGGGAGAGACAGAGAGAGGAGAAACACAGAGAGAGACAGAAAGAGAGGGGAGAGAGAGAGAGAGAGAAAGAGAATTCTGCAGATTCCAAATAAGGATGAGTTGTTTGTATTTAGGAAGTATAGGTACTCACATATCTATGGATTTATATGATGATGCTTTTGCCTATTTGTTAAATATTCTCTAGCATGTTTTTCTTTGCTATCTGTTGTTTTCATAATCTGAGAGGGCTTCCTTCTCACCATCATGTTCCATGTTTAAATAACAGTCACTAGTGAGACAATGTAAATAGGAGTAGTCCTGTTTGCAAGAGTTGGTAGGACTTCCACCAGAAGTACCAGTCATCATCAAGCTATGAGTCATCTCTCTCTGGGTAATGGTTGCAGAAGGAATATTATAGTAGGAAGACTATTTACCAGAATCCTCCACCATGTGGTCTGGGCTACTTCTTTTCCTTAAAAGATGATGAAATCAGCCTTGAGACTTAATTAGCTCAGGAAACTAGCAGATCAAACCACGGATGTTTCTTCCTGGTCACCCAATTCCAAAAAGCCATTGAGAGTTCCAGCCCATTCCTGGTGCTTGACCAGGAGATCACCACAGGCAACATAGAGAAGGAGGAACTATGTGGCTGTCTCTCTTAATATCCTCATGGAATATGTTTCCTTTGCTATGATTAAATAAATCTCTTTTTGTTAACTGTTAGCTGTACTACATGTCTTCTTTCATTCCATTCTGAAATCTACACTATCAAAGGCCTAGCTTTGTTAGCCCTGGCCTGGAACAAATGTCAAATAACAGTACCAAAAAGGTTTTTCATAGGTGTGTGAGGCATTGGCCAAACTTTTTCCTTTCAAAAACTGCAAAGTGTGATCAGAAAATTTCCTAAGTGGAGTAGATCACATTTGCACAAAGATGTTGGCACCCTTTCCACACCAGGAAAAATCTGAAAAAAGGATAGAAAACCCTCTTACTATTTAAGTAGAGATAATAATGTGCAAGTATTAACCAAAAGGAAATTATCCTTTTTAGGCCTGTTGGCCCAGAGAAGCAAAGCCATTCTGATTATGGAATTTTTTTGAGGTAGATTGTTCAGGGATAGAATTGGTAGAATGAGGACCTAAATATTAAAGATAGCTCTCTTATATTCCCCTTGCTATTACATCCCATCAATGTATGTACAGAATGCTAATGTTAATAATGGTAGCTATTTATATAGTTCTTCAAGGCTTGCAAAGCACTTTACATACATTATTTGTATAAATATATTTTTACATATATTTAATTTTCATAACCCTGTGAGGTAAGTGCTTTTATTATATTATTTTGATAATTTTTTAATTTATTTTTTCTATAATTAATTTAATGATAATAATTTATTATTATTTTGTCATGAGGAAATTAAGAGAGGTAAAATAACTTGCCTAGTCAGTAAGTTGAGGAAATATTTGAGCTTAGGTTTTCCTTAACTCTGGGGCCAGTGTGCCACCCTTTATACCACCTGACAAAAGTGTGATATTGTAGATAGAACCCTCCACTTTTGGAATCATGGGGTTTAGTTCAAGGAAGACCATTCAAGATCACACAGGCTGACCCTCTAGTCTGACAGATAAAGAAAATGAGACCCCCAAAAGTTAAGTGACTTATGCAAAATTCTATAGGTAGTTAGTTGACTAAGCTGGGATTCAAACCCAGATACTGTGACTCCAAATTCAGGGCTCTTTCTACTTTTCCCCTATCAGGAAATCTAGGTTCAAATCCCAGCCCGGAATTAGCTGTGTGACCTTGGGCAAATCACTTAATTCTGCTAAGGCTCAATTTCCTCATGTAAAATCTGGATTATCCTTTTACATAATAGGATTGCTGCAAAGAAAGGGCCTCAAACCTTAAAGTGCTATATAAATATGAGATTTCAGGGATTATCCAGGCAAAAATTAGGCTTGGCCCCTGTGGGACACTTGAGGGGGAAGGAAGTGTGGGCATCAGAGACAGGCCGTAGGAAACAGTGATCAGAAGCACTAAGCCTGGGTCAAATAAGGAAAATCAGAGGGCTATTTAGTCATCGGGGCAAAGGAGGTTAATACACAGCAGTGAAGATTAGACAGGCCAGACTGAGTCAGAGCAGGCAACCTAGAATACAGGCTGAGATAAACACAAAAAGCCAAGGAAAGCCAAGTTTGAAAAAGTCAGACATGTATTCAGGGAGAAGAGCACTGAGAAACTACACAGTCTTTGTTCAATGGGCATCCTTTCTAATCTCTGCCAGTGTGCTGGCAACTTCTGCTGCTTACAGAGGCTGAGTTGTCAGAATCAGGGAGCTCTCTCCATGCCAGGCCTCTGGTGTGGGCTCACCAGAGGTTAAGGAGTTTGTCCGAGGATACATGGCCAGTAAATATCTGAAGTGGGAAACAAACCCTGGTCTTTCTGAAGACAGGTGAAGGCCTCTCACTGCGTTATACAGTAAGGACCCCAGTTTGGCTTTTGCTGACCGTTTGTGTAAGGTGAGAGAGAAAGATAGAATGGCCCTGTGACTATGTACGTGGTAGGTTCTAAAAATTCTGGGAAGGGGTAAGATGCACAAAAAGTCCTCAGGAAACCCGGACACCTAAACTGGGATTGACAGGTAGAAAGTCCTTCACTTCTGGGGAAAATTTAATTCTTCAGTTAGCAAATTTGTCACGTTCCAAGATGAGTTTAAAAAAAAATGGAAATTTAAGGGCAGAAGGGAGCAAAGAAGGGAAGTGGTTTTTATTTTTTTTTTGAGAAGTATTTAATTATTAACTATTACTTGTAATTATGAGATTCAAATAATTTAGAAACCTGATGGAGTTTGTATATATAAATATGAATGTGTGTGAATCACAATTTGTTGTTGTTGTTTGTCTTTCATGCTCAAAGGTCAAAATGATATCATCATGTCAAGGTCAATGTACAGTGCATCTGGCTGTGTCTGATCATGCCAACAGGAGCTCAGAAGGCTCTACCACAGGTTGGGCACAAATAATCTGTATGACCATTTGGGAGAGAAACCAACATAATTTTATATATATATATAAATTCCATTAGTTCTGTCTTTATACAATCCTTTGTTCTAGACACAACACATGGGAGTGGGGACCATCTGGGGCCAGACACATTTACAGAGATTGAACAGAATCTATATGAGTGACAGTGGGCAGCAGTGCGGCCCCAGGGTCAGGCTGCTTACAAAACACACTTCAAGGACCCATGTGACCATAACTCCACCCCCCCATTTTACGTTTTAAAAATATGTTGATTTAAACCAACACAACTGTATTGATCAACTTCTGATCTTTTATTTTACCTCCTATTTTAACTCTGTGATATTTCCTTCCATTTCCCTTCACTGACCATTGAATGCCTGGTCAGTGACCTTACATAGTCTCACAGCCTAGTTTTGGACTGGTGACATTGCTTGGAAATACAGAACCACTGAGGCATCTCCCTTCCCCAGGCGGAGATCAAAACACAGCTGGTCGTTAATGGTGGGAGGGGGAAGAGGAAGAAAGAAATTAAAAAAAAAAACTGGAGGAGATGTTTGCATTTCAGGTTGACTGAAACCTTTCAAATCCAAATTAAGAGCTTCAGTTAAATTGACACTGTGTCTATTCTAGGATGAATTCACATAACTCTCTCCCAACCCAAACCACATTAGCACAATAATCATTTCACTGGAAGGAACCAATCATGAGAAAAGGCTGGTATGGGGCCTCCATCTGACCAACTTACTAAAACAGAAAGAAATTATTATTTGTTTAAATCTGAGAAGCAGCAGCAGCAGCCACTGCCTCTCACAGATTAGGGCTAAATTGAAAAGCCGATAAAGCAAGCCTGAATCTCAACTCTTCCCCAATGCTAATTTAGGCTACATCAAATAAATCCCTATACGTGGTTTTGGAATTTTTGCTTCTTCCTCCCTCTTCCCCACTACTCTCTAGGCCTTTATACTTTGGAAAATCTTTAATTTTAGTTCACCTTCTTTTCCATTTTTAAAACATTTTTAATATTTCTGAATCTACTTTGATGACCTTGATTTCCAGTGTCTTAAACCTTGTAAGTCACAGGCAGAGGTGGAGGATACTCCTTTCTAAGGGACAGAAGAGGGAAGAAAAATATGCCCCTACCCCAGGCTCTAGTGTACCACCACCCTCTATCATAATAACCCTGGTGATTGGCTAGTGTAGTCCTAGATGAGGATTATGGCTAAGGGCAGAGACAGGGCCCAAGAGGAGAAGGCAGCAAGTATTACCCGTATTTGAGAAGTGATGTGATCTAGTCGAATGTAGATTGGGATTTGGAGTCAAAGAATCCACGTTTGAATCCTGGTTTTGTAATTTATGAACTGTGTGACCTTGGGCAAGTGACCTAACCTCTTTGGGCCTCAGTTTTATCATCCAGAAAATGGCTGGGGAGGGGGAGGACTAGATGAGCTCTAAGCTTCCTTTCATCTCTTAATCTATGATTTTATGATCCTCCTGTGCAGGGGTTAGAAAATTACAGCCTGAAGACCTATACTAAAGCCTAGGACTAAATCTTGTCCTTGATCTGCGTTTTTTTATGGCCAGAGAGCTAAGATTGACTTTTACATATTAAAAATACATTATTTAAATAAATTTAAATGTAATTATTTTAAAATGTAAAAAGTCATTCTTAGCACCACCACCCCAGTATAAATATAGATAGTATGGTTTCCAGTCGCTTGCAGCATTCCTGTGCCTTTACCTAACCAGATATGCTTTTTGTTCCTTTTTCCAGGGACCTGGGGACATTTCCTGGCCAGCTCCCTGAAGTCCTATCATTTGAAATGCAGCTTCAAGAAATGAGGGGTTTGCTAATTATATGGGAGAATCTAAGAGAGGGGTGTAGGAAGAATTTAGATAACAGGATTTGAAATCAGAGAATCTGTCTTAAATATTCACGGTGTTTCTTATACCCACCCAGAGCTGTGTGACATTGAACAAGTTGATTCATCTTTCTGGGCCTAATTTTCATCACCTATAAAATTAGAGGAGTAGATAAGATCAGTGATTCAGTGAGTCCATGGACTTTAAAACAAACAAAGAAATAAATGTGTGTGTGTGTGTGTGTGTGTGTGTGTTATTTTATGCACTTAAAAACATTATTCTGAGAAGGATTTCATAGGCTTCACCAGACTTCCAAAGAAGGGGGTCCATGACACACACAAAAAGGTTAAAAACCCCTGGACTAGCCAATATTTTACATTCTAAACCCTAGTATTCTATGACTTTTGTTGCAGAAGAGAGAATTTCAACAGTCCTCATTTCCCCAAAATTTCAAAGGGAGAGGATGTGGGGAGCTTGCCCTTAATTTTTGTGCTTATGCTGAAGTAAGCAGTTAATAAATGTTAATTTATGTTTAACGGGTATGTAAATGTAAAGCCTATATCAGATTGTGCGTGTCTTGGGGAGGGATGGCGGGGAGGAAAAGGGAGAATTTCAACTCAAAAGCATATGGAAAAAATAAAAAAAATTTAAATAAAAAAAGACAAATAAAAAAATAGATGTTAATTTATTGATAGGCTGATTGAGTGATGGGCGGTTGACTGAAGTTGGTATATAGATGTTAACTGCTAACGTTAATTGTTAAGAATTAATGAATGGGAATGGGAAAGCAAAAGATACCTGGGGCATCCCAGAGAAAAAACTAGTTGACTGGTTCTCAAGAGAAACGACGTGTCAAAAGGGAGCATGGGTATCTGAACGGATGGCAAATGACAGAGGAAGTAACAAATTTGTTAAGGAAAAGCTGGGTTTCTTAATAGACCTCTGTGGCCCAGAAAATCAAGTGACTTCCACTAGCAGCCAACCTCTGCCAAAGCAGGAAGCATGAACTGGGAAACAGATGAACTAGATGAGCCCTTGGGAATGCCTCTTTACCTCTGATCCTCATTTCCTTTTCTACAAATGAAAGGGTGGATTCCCTTATCTCCAAGACTCTTACACTGTACAGCTAGTGTATAGCTCTGAAATTCCATGATTCCTTACTCTATATACCGTCATAATTCTTCATGCATGCTTCAAGTAGCTTTTGTTAGAGTGATTGGCCTGAGTTTCCTTTCAAACCAGACTACCCTGTGCCCCATGAAAATGAGCTGTACTCTCCAGACTATGAGTTCAAATCTGGGTTCGGTCACTTCTTAGCTATATGACCAGAGGAAGTCATTCAATCTCTGTCTACTCCAGTTTCCCCATCTGTAAAATGGGGATAACAATAGCATATCCTCACAGCGTTTGTTGCAAGGAGCAAATGAGACAATGTTTGTAAACTGCCTGGCACATAGTAGGTGCCATGTAAATGCCAGCTATCAGTGTTGTTGTTATTGTTATTAGATAGTACCTGCCTTTGCTCAGGCAATTAACAAAGTGTGTATCAGCTGCCGAATGGACTCACAGAGTCAGACATGACTGAAATGACTCAACAATAACAAATAGCTGACAGTTTTGAATATCTTGAAATTAATTTATTTTCTGTTGTTTTGAAAGTCAAGGAAAAATGTGTGTTATTTTAAGGCCCTGTTGGGAGCTTACCTGCTCAGCTCTCTGTAATGATCAGCTGACCCCCCCCCCCAAGATATTCTGTCTAGCCATATGGAATTTGCCGCTCCCCAGGTTGGTTTCAATGTAATATACCTATGTGCTCCTACAGGTCCACAGGTCCTCCTATAGCACTCAATTTACCATTAAAAAGCCAGTTCACCAATTTATGTGCTAATAAGCGTACTTGACTTACAAATTAGACTGATACTTCTCAGTGCATAAAATCAAACTTTATTAGTCAAAAGCCACAAACAATCTCCTTCTCTAAGAACAAACATGCACTTCAGAGGTTCTGACAAGTTTCTTCCATACATGCCTCTGACAAGTTTCCCTCCCTGCCTAGTCAGAGGCCCGCTGTGCCCCTCGGTCACCTAGCAAATCTTTGTCAATCAATCAGCCCTGATCTTAAAAGAAACCAGAAAACCTCAGGGTCAAGGAACACCGGGAGTCAGTCCTAGGCCTTTCCTAGGACTGCTCAGGTCCCACATGGGTTTTTTTATATTTTTAGCTATGCATGTGTTCCTAAGTTGTTCAACACACAACTTGATTTAGAATTTACTTCAAAATTACTGACAAAGTTGTTTATAATATTCTTTTTCCTTGGTGGTTCATCTTGTCAGCAGATCCACATATGTTTATCAGTTGTTTAAGAATATACATAAGTTGTTACTACATCATGCCACATAGGTACTTATCTCATTATTGAGAAGTAACTTACTCAAACAGCCTATCTTCTTTTTTTAATCATACATTTCTCTGTCATCCTTCAAACCACTTCTACTTAATTCCTCATTTGAAATGTGTTGTGGGTTGCTTATACCCATCATGCACCTCTCTATTAACCTTTGTAGGATCTTCAACTTCCATCACAAACTTGGGTATCCCATCGGGGGAGGGGAGCATCTCCGGTCGCCCTGATTGATATCTGGCCGCTGGACCCAGATGGCTTTGAAGGAGAAAGTGAGGCTGGTGACTTTGCACAGCCCTGCCTCACTCAAATTCAATTCTTTGCAGGTCATAGCATCACCTTCCTGATGTCATGGTCCTCTTCGAGAATGAAAGACAAACAATAACAACTGAAAACAGCTCAATACAAAATGGAATCTGCTGACAAACTATCATATGAAAGCAATAAAATTTATTCTCGCTACAATATCAATTATGTTAAATTAACAAAAACTTATTCCTATGGCAAGAGTAGGTGGCTCAATGGATAGAGCACTGAGCCTGGAGTTAGGAAGACCTGAGTTCAAATCTAGCCTCAGACACTTAGTAGCTGTATGACCCTGGGCAAGTCACTCAACCCTGTTTGCCTCAGTTTCCTCATCTGTAAAGTGAGCTGGAGAAGGAAATGGCAAGCAACTTTGCCAAGAAAACCTCAGGTTGGGTCACCAAAAGTCAGACAAGATTGAATAATGACTGAACAACAATGTGGAGTTAGGAAAACCTTAATTCAAATCCCTCCAGTGACACCCAGTGTCTGTTGGATCCAGGACACGTTATTTAACTTCATTTCCCTCAGTTGGAGCAGGAGGATAATGATAACACCTACCTCTTACAGTTATTGTGAGGATCTAAAGAAATAACATATATAAAGGGCTCTGTAAACCCTAAAGCACTATGTGAACATTAGCTATGATTACGTTCCCTATATTGTTCCCTGAACAAGAAAACCATTTTATTTTCTGATCTCCCTACATTTCTGTCTCCTGGGATTTAGGTTAGAAGAAATTTATATTGTTATTCTGAAGGCAAATTTGTCTGATCCTTACATTTGAGGACTTCCTCTATGTGACCCTAATTAAATTTTCCTTTACTCTTTACCTTCTTTCCCCAACCACCCCAGAATCATACAGCAGATCTGACGGTACCTTGAGTGGAAAGCAAAGGCCAGTACCCAAATAAACTGCCCCTATTTCCTGAAAGGATTCTCTGCAAGAAAGGTTCAGAAAGTCCAGCTGAATCATTAGAATGGGCTGGGAAAAGTCATACCATACAGGGAGGCAAGCTCCAGAGTCAACCCAGAGGAGGCAGGAAAAAACAATCCTAAATCAAAGGATTAAGTTAGAGGGAAAAGTTAGTCAAGTTGCCAGAACAAGCTGCTAAAATGATTACCTGATTTATTATATTTTATTTTATTTTTTAAGACGAGGGTTGTTTGGGGGGAATTTCTCAGCCTGGATTCCTGGAGAGCCCAGTGAGAATCCCACCCATCAGCTAAGTGACTGGAGGTCTAATAACTTGAATAGTCAAACTAAAAAGAAAAAGACTTATCAGCATGCTAAGGAAGACTGCTCACTGGTAGCAGTTTCAGCTTCCTAGGGCACAGATTTAGTTTTATAAGTTTCCGGGCCAAATTAGAGCACACAGCCAATCGGTAGCATCCTGCAACAACTTATTATAAACAAGTAAAGCATTCCACAGAACAGTGTAGGCCTCTAAGGACTTGGGTTCAAAATCTTGCTCATCACTTGCTACTTATATATCCACAGGCAAGTCACTTAACTTCGTTGGACCTCAGTTTCCTCACCTGTAAAATAGGAGGGTTGGATTAGATGGTCTCTAAGTTCCCTTCTGGGACAGCTAGGTGGGGAAGTGGATAGAGGCCTGGCCCTGGAGTCAGGAGCACTTGTGTTCAAATCTAGCCTCAGATACTTACTAGCTGTGTGACCCTGGGCAAGTCACTTAACCTGTTTGCCTTAGTTTCCTCATCTTTAAAATGAGCTGGAAAAAGAAATGGCAAACCACTCCAGTATCTCTACCAAGAAAACCCAACTTAGAGAATCAGGACACAACTTAAACGCTTGAATAACAAAGTCCCTTCCAGATCTAGATTTTTGATCCTATGATTCCCTGTAGGGGAATGGACCCCCTTTTAGCTCTGTCCAGTCAATCAACATGCCTTCAGAGTCCAACTCCCATGGCACCTCCTTCATGAAGCCCTTCCTGAACCTACTCTCCCTCCTCAACGCACTGATGAAAGTGTCCATTTCCTCCTCAAGGGTCCCCTAGCATTTTGCTCAGACCTTTCATAGCCCTTCATGTATTTTGCTCTCCATCTTTCCCTCAATTTGGTATTGTATCTCCCAACCAAGCCCAATGCCTTATGTAGGGCAAATATTTAATAATTGTTTGCCAGTTTGAATTGGAACAAGGAGTGGACTTTGCTGAGTTTGCAATTTTACCTAGAGTGGTGAATACTGTATATTATAATTAAAGATGATTCAAAGGAAATGGTTTTCTGAGAAATGACAACCCTGACCTGGCCCCTCAAAACTAAATTGGTTTAACTTCTCTTTAGTCTCATCTATTTTCCTGTGGTTTCTTAGCCTTTCTGATTTGGTCTAAGCTTACAAGTAGAAATGCCATTATGATACCAAATGCATTGTTTTCTTGTTATTCCTAGTCCAAGAAGAACCCAGGAATGATATCTTGTTAAAAAATTCATCAAAGAAAGGCAATGTAGGAGTTCACATTGTAGGCTAAGAGTGGGAACTCAGGTTCCATTGGTTTATTATGGCTAATCAGACCT